TTCCACAACCTTGGCCTTGGCGGTGCCGGTTGTTGTCACCGTCTACAAGAGAGCCGACGCCGTTGATGCCCCTGTCGCCGACGACAAGGACGTTGGCAGAGCACAACGGCCTCGGCTACAACCCAGCCGTCGAGCGAGGGGTTCACCAAGGAGGAAGTCAAGAAGGTCAGGAGCAGGACGGCGAGCAGCGATTGGGCGCTGCAGGACACGCAGGCCAAGGTTGAGGCGCGGTTCTGAGTTTTGTTGAGCTGGATATCGAGCATAGATTGCATGTAAAACTGTATACGAGCATAATGATTGGATTGGGAATTACGACGCTGCATGCGCGTTCGCGGATTCATCAACGTTTAGTTCCATGCTTGATGGAACTCTCCAAAAAAGTGGCTTGTGACAATCCCATCACCACGATCCAAGATTGGTCGGGACTCAACATATAGAAAACTCTCTCTCCCTCCCAACGTAATCTCGTCATACTTGAAGATCAGCCCTGTGTTCGTGGCCCCGAATCAATATCACGCACAGGGCGCGTCTCAAGAGCTTCGAGAAGGGGCCCGGAAGCATCCCCTCATCCGTCGATCATACCCGCCACCCCCCCAGCCGCTTTCCTCCACGGGCCCATCGGTAGCGCCGTCAAACACGTCGGCCACAGGAGATCAATCTGGCGGCTTGCTTTTCTCGCTTCAGTCGTACGTTGACGGCATGAGGAGGCTGGCGATGAAGGGTTCGCTAAGGTAGGGGCTGCGGCGAGGTGGTATCGATGAGCCTGAGAGAGCCTGTAAGCTGGTCTTGGGCCATTTTGTGCCGCTTGTGAGGAAAGAGATAATTGTTCGACAGCTCGCTCTTTGCCATGATGGAAGGCTTCGTTTGTATCTCTTCCTCCTTGGGCCGGAGCTCACGCAACCGAATCGACCCCATTCACTGAAGCTACGACCTCATGACTTCTAGATCCCCCTGACTATCGCTGGCAGAAGTCGTCGGGCTCCCAGTCCTGTTGTGCTCTGTGCCTTCCTGGCTGAAATCACATTCGCATCCCTTCTAGGAAGGCACCTGACAGCACTGGTCGAGGCAGGTGCCATGCAACGGATTGGAGAGCTGGCTCTTTCCATCCTAGCCCTGAAGAGGTCCTTCCTTCACTACATCCTGCGCCTCTCCCACTTCTCCCCCGAATAAGTGTGCCCGTTGATGGCTGATTCGTCTCTCCAAGAACAAGAACAACAACGACAGCATCAGCGCCTATTTGTTTTGGATTTGCATTCGATTCTCTCCACGGCATTGTTCCTCTCTATCGCATAGTTTCCCTCCCTCCTCTGGCATCCGGCCCAGTGCTCTATTGCCAGGAGTGTCACTAAACCACAATCTCCCCATCACCCTCACTTCGGAGAGCCAGGCATCATGACGAGCTTCATCTATGCCCGGCAATACGATGGGGAGTTCCTGGAAGGCCTTACCCTGAAGGTACTGCTGGCTGCATCAATAACCACTGCGATCGTCGCTCCTGTGTCCTTCGTTGTCAGAATCTTGTTGTCCAAACGTCGGGGTCACCGCATCCTCAGCCTGAACTCTGCTTTAAGTGTGCTCGCTTTGGTAAGAAAACGAGAAGAAGGGAACCATTCTAATAAGACGTTGTTTGTTTGACTGACTCATATCTAGATCGCGGGGCTTATCGCTGTTGCTCTCTTCACCAGCTTCGCTGTCGCGTCGAGTACGGTGTGGCTTTACTACAACCTCGGTCAATTCTTCGCATCTACAGCGGCAGGACTGACCATCCTTTTCGATTGTCGACGTCTTGTTCAGCAATTCACGAAACACAGGGTCCTTCTTGGCGTGGCTTCCTGGTCTGCCCCTTATTCTAGGTCTCACCTACCTGGTCCTCTCGTTCTGGCCGCTATATTGCGGTCGGCTCTGGTCACCAGCAGCACCTCTATTAGCAGTGGCCTTTTCTTGGACTCATGGAGCGTTGTTGGCGACAACATTCTTGCTCCTCCTCGTTGCTTTAGCTCTTGAAAAACGCGGCCCCACAGGAAAGCAGGTCTCGACCAGGCATCGTGCTACCGTTGCCATCTATTACCTGCTGTAAGTGCTTATCGACTGCCAAGACTGCCGCCTGGGCTCGACTGACGAGAAGCAGTGCCATCATTCAAGCACTTTCGAATGCTTTCTATGTGGCAGTCCACTCTGACGAACTATACAATAAGGACAGTAGGGACGAGGTCTATACCGATTACGGGGGTGTCTACGTCTATGTCGATCATACCGACAGGGGACGCACCGCTGGCGTCGCTGCAAGCGTCACCGCTCTGTACGTGAGACTTGATCCTTGAAATGTTACTCGACTGACTCTCTTGCCAGCATGATTTTCCTTGTTCTATTCCTCGTTGCCAATCTCCAGGCCCAGAGTAGCCCAGCTAAGCCCGAAGAGACCGATACCAAAGAGAACCATGCTGCGCCAAGTGACCAGGTTGACGGTCCAGCGTCGTGTGCACCCAGCACCAAAGGCAATCCCCATGACTCGATGTTCATCATCCAGGGGGCCAGAGTGCCTGGGTACCGGGAATCGACAGGACAGGACGTTCAACGCGCTCCTTGTTTTCACCGGAGCCCTCCTCCCACCGGTATCCTCAGGACGATTAGCGTCGACGTTGTTGTGGAAGACCGGGAGGAAGACGAGTGGCATGATGATGAGGGACAGCGTGGCCCTCGGGGCTGGGAGGCCGCGCTGCGCCGTAGCCCGCAATGATGGGCAAAGCTCGATCTCCGAGGTAGTGAAGGATATGTTTTCGCGAGGTCTGTTGCTGGAGTTGTGCGCCGGCTAATATCCTAGACGAAGAGCCCTGCCGCAGGGATGAACGCCCTACGAGGATAGTGCGGGCAACCAAACAGTAGCATTAGGTAGTATTTTTGATGAAAAGGATTCTACACAAGGCGCCTCCCTGCTCTACCGCCTGTCGAGCTCAAATGTGTTATTTGAGGCCTCCACTCAACAAGATGCTCTGGCCCGTCATGTAGCCTGTTCGGCACAGCATGGTGACGACATGGGCACACTCCTGAGGCGTGCCCAGGCGGCCGACGGGAATGTTCTTGACATCGCCGGGGGTGCCCTCGACCCTCTTCTCGTCAGGGATCATGCCCGTGTCGCCGATCATGGCGGGAGCGACGTCGTTGACAGTGATGCCGTCCTTGGCGTGCTTGGCGGCGAGGTTCTTCATGAGGCCCGTGAGGCCGGCCTTGCTGGCGGCGTAGTGGCAGCCGTTGATGCCGCCACCAATGGCCGAGATGGAGGAGACGTAGACGATGCGGCCCCAGCGGCGGGCCTTCATGTGCGGCACGGTGAGCTTGGCGAGGAGAAAGGCGGCGCGCAGGTTGATGGCGATGGTGTAGTCGAACTCGTCGAGCGAGATGGCCTCGAGGTGGGGGTTCGCGCGGTTGCCAAAGCCGGCGGTGCCGGCGTTGGAGACGAGGATGTCGGGCGCCGGGCGGCCGTGGTGCGCGGACAGGGCGGCGAAGAGGGCCTCGATGCTGGCCTGCGAGGCGAGGTCGAGGGCGTGCACGGAGATGTGGGACGCCGGCCGGTCGGGAGACGCGGCGCGCAGGGCGCCCACGAGGCCTGTCACGGAGGCGAGGTTTGTGGTGTAGGTCAGAGCGAGGGT